AATAATTCAAAGCTTGTTTGTTTGCTCTGTATAAACTATAAAGTTGCCAATGCAATCCAATTAAGAAGATATCATCCATTCAAAAAGCACCCCTCCCCCAGACTGCTGATATACAGCACCTCTTTGATACCCCGTCCCTTTATCCAAAATAATTTGACATTTCTTAATTTCTGTTTTTGAACCAAATAAGCACCCACCAAAATCAGCGAATTAAATGTCCGGAACATTTACTATAATTTTATTAAATTGATATTTCTTAGTGAATAATAATAATTTTGAATAATGATTTTAATTATTATATTTATGTAAAAGTTAGGTAACATAATTTTTACACCTTTTTAGAACATTTTTAACAAAAAAAATCACATAATTTCCATATTTTAAATAATTTCACAGATACCCTTAATCAAACTTGATCGACCATCAATGTTGACCATAAAAAGTCGATGTGATAATTAATATCTATGTGCCCATGGTATTTACATACATATATAAGGTCAAGGTATCAAGGACTTATTTTTGTATTAATTTTATGATTACTAGTCCTAAAAAAGAAAACTCCAGTCAGTAATTCTTTCTCGCAGTTTCTTTCTTTTGTTTAAGAAAAGAAAAAAGGACGTGGGAGAAATAAAGAAGCTGAGATGAGATAGGTGTAATATAGAATGGCGATGGCGTGGCCGGTTGATGTTGACGGAATGTACTAAAACTAACAGATCCACCAGAAATGTTGGTGAAATATAGAGAGAGCTCGTTTCTGCAAAAAGTTAAAGTGTTGTCTGCATGGGTGCAACTGTAGTATAAGTAGTGTATATACTGCCTCTTTTTCATATATACGGAGTACCTGGTATTACTCTACTATATAAAGGGTGAATATATTAAGAGTTTGTTTGCAAATGCTTTAAAAAAAAGTACTTCTCAGCTTTGGGCATAAAAAACACTTATTTTACCAAACTACCAACTTTTATTTTTCTCGACTTTCGTGTCAAAAGTGCTTTTACTTTTTCTATTACACAAAAAACACTTATTTTATCAAACACTACCAACTTTTACTTTTCAAAATCACTTTTTTCTCAAACACTATCAACTTTTATTTAATCATTTCTCCTCATTTCATTAAAAAATCACTTTTTTAAAAGCAGAATCTGTTGCAAACTGACCCTAATTATTCGGTTTAACTGAACCAAGCTTACTCAATTTAAATCGGTAGAATTTTTCTTATAAATTGTACTATCGTATTAAATTTAATCGAGCCAAAATCGAGAGACTCCGATTAAAATTGAATCCAACTAAAAATATTGATACAATCTTAATATATTACGGGGTCTTAGAAATAATGAATTCAAACCGAACTAATCGGATTATTGAACCAAACTGAAATAATATAGTACTAGTATGGTTTTTATTTGGTTATTATTCTTCTAATAATCCATTTCAAATCGAATCAAAAATGATATGCAAGGAAGTGAATTTTTGTGTGGTTCTATTTATTTCAAGCCAAAACTCATACTCTCTCCCACCAAAAATATTTGAAGGAAATATTTGTAAATGTCATAGGAAGTGAATTTTTGGTGGTTCTATTTATTTTTGGTAGTGTACGCTTTCTCGATATTAACTATTTCAAATTGACCATTTTCAAAAGAAGAGAAATGAAACAAATAATTTCAAAGAACCAAGAGAATAAGGCAATTATTACACATTAAATATTACAAGTATATATATTTGTGTGTATATAGATATATACAAGGAGAGAGTATCAAAAAAGTATATATAAGGAGAGAGATAAATTGGTCCAAGCAGTAGTACGTGGTCATACAATGGATTTGATATACTCCGTATAAAAGTGAATTTTTTAAATTTTTTTATAAATAAGGAATGAAAGATATTAATGGTCAAACTTGTGCGTTGGCAAACATGAAATGTTGACTGTTGCAATTAAAAAGGAACGGAGGAAGTATATAAGGAGAGAGTATCAAAAAAGTATATATAAGGAGAGAGATAAATTGGTCCAAGCAGTAGTACGTGGTCATACAATGGATTTGATATACTCCGTATAAAAGTGAGCTGAGGGTAGATAGATGCCCACATACAGCAGCCACATGCATAATCGGCCTCAAAGGTTCTCTCATGTGTTTCCATGGCAGCTTTCACTTTTTCCTGTGACGTACGTCCTTGTTCCTCATGCTTCATTTCGATCATCCCATTATCTAATTATGATTATAATAATAATAATAATAATTATAATTATTATTATTATTATTATTATTATTATTATTATTATTACTATTATTATTATTATTATTATTATTATTATTATTATTATTATTATTATTATTATTGTATGCACCACATGTATAAAAAGTGAATATGTTAATTGCTTTCATAATTACATATTCAAGTTGACGTTTGGATTGCGCAATATTGTTTCTGTATAATATCAATAATAACTAGCGAAAGTAGCCACGGAGGCTGCGGAGCAAAAATTAAATTTATTGTTAGGGGATTGGGTTTTAAAAACTTTATGTGCGTCAAAGCTTAAATCAACATGTTTTTTTATATTGAAAATATTTATACATAAACTACATTAACATGAGAATGTTACTGAACAGTAACAATTTAATTTAAATAAATTAAAACTAAAATTTAATACACACACTTGTATAAGACCTAACTAGCAAGGCACGCGCCATGCGCGAGGCTATGTGCCCAATCCAAGCAAATTGTTTTTTAAGTAGTCATGTTACTGAAAATTGAAACGTAGAGATGGTAGAGGTATAAACTTAACAAGGAAATTTTGGAATGGATTTTAAAGAAATGGACAAGGCACATATAAGCATATAATAAATGTTATCACCCTAGTTTCACCGCTAGTGCTGTTTGTAGTAATGAAGTCTAGCACATAGCGGGGGTGTTTGGTTATTAGTCTATCAGCCATTTTTTGGCTGTTTAGACCAATAGTTGGCTTTTTGACCATTTCAAACAGTTATTTAGGTGTTTGGTTATTAAGCTTTTTGTATTGGCTTTTTATGTCAATCAGCCAAAAATAAAAAAGCCAAGTTTAGTAGCGTTTTGCTCTTCGCCGTTTCATTTTATTCTCCAAAAATACATATTTAGCCTTATCCTTTAAAATTCAAATGATAGTTTTCTCATGCATTTAAATCACACTCCGTAGCTCCCATCTTCAATTTAGGCGTAGGGCAACTTCTAAGTTTTTATGAAAGGAATATTCGATTCCATCTCTACAATTATAAAGACCCCCACCCCCTCCCCTTTTGTTAGAAAACATTTAACGTATATAAGCAACAGCATTAACAAAATTTAGCAATATTCAATTTAACAATATATGAATAAAATACATTACAATCAATATTATTCGTCCTTAAGTTTTTATTACTTTTAGTTACTTTAATGAATACAAATAGTTTAGGATAATATATTAAAATCATATTTTTACACAACTTTTGTTGGTATATTTTTTATATTCTTACACAATTTTTGTTGGTATATTATTACTTATAACTCCATTATTAATCAAAGTATCATCGTACTAATCAAATTTATTAACTAGTGCAAAATAATGTTTAAAATTATAATTACTACATTTTTGTTTTTTTAGATCATTAAAATGGTTTAAGTAGTTGTACTAATTATAGTAATAAAAAATTAATTGATGTCCTTAAAAGTCATTTAACAAGTTACCAGCGGATTATAAACAGTCATTTAAACAAACACCATTTTACAAACTGTTAATCCTATCAGCTAATCAAAACCGCCAACAGAATCAGCTGCCATCAATCAGCTAACGCAATCACCCAACAGCCAATAGCCAACCGCCAATTGCCAAACACCCCAGCATGGCAGCTGTTAAAGTATCTTTGTAGCATCCAAGCACATTAGCACATATAACAATGTAATTAATAATAGCGTTCATACAACAAGAGCAATTTGAGCACCATCACTCTAATTAATAATAGTACTCTGCAGAAGTTACCAAATTTGAGCAATTGGCTATAAAAAGGGCACAATTGAGCACAAGTCAACGGGGTGTTTGGCAATTGGCTGTTAGCTGTTGGCCGATTGTGTTAGCTGATTGATGACTGCGGTTTCAGTTAGCTGTTTTGATTAGCTGATAGGATTAGCAGTTTGTCTAATGGTGTTTGGTTAAATGGTTGTTTACAATCAGCTGATAACTTGTTAAATGACATTTAAGGGCATCAATTAATTTTTTATTAATAAAATTAGTTCAACTACTTAAACAGATTTTATATTTTGAAAAAACTAAACATATATCTACGCAAGTAATAGTTATTTTTAACTTTTTTCTTGAATTAATAAATTTAATTAAGAACAATGATATGTTGATTAATTAGACTTGACATATTCTAAATCTATATTTCTTGAACTAATAACCCACCTCTCAAGTCTCAACCGAATGAAATGGAAAACACTTCTTAAATACAAACTCTGAATTACTTCTATTTCAATGTTCAAACAACTAATAACACACAAAAAAAACACCTAATATTAAAATGCTTCTAACTAGTCTTGCACCCCTACTCCCCTAGCCTTAAAGTACGAACAGTTCGTTTTTTCTTCTTTGAGCATGATGTGCTATTGGTGTGTCCTCTTGGCGAAAGGGCTGAGTCGATGAGTGGATCTGTCATCTGTGGATGCATTAGTTAAAGTGGGTAAGGAGCATACGTATAGAGATGACTAACCTTAATTGATGGAGTAGAATTAGATAGCTAAATGTGAGAGAAGGCGGAAGATTTTTTTCTTGCTCTTCCACGGAAGCTGCTCTAAATTGGAAGATATTTCAGAAGTTGGAGGCGGATACTCGTGGGTAGTATAGGAATGATGCAGAAAAGCCAATCGTAAAACGCTACAATTCTTGGCGTTTAAGATATTGGCTGTTTGGGACAAACAGCCAAGTGAAAAAGCTATTTTACCAAACACACATAATAGTTGATGGATGCAGTAAAAAAGCCAAATATGGTCAAACAACCAAAAATTGGCCGATCAGCTCTCAACCAAACACCCCCAACATGTATAAGGGCACAACAGCCTGCAATGTAATAAAAACCAAGAGAAAGAAATGGCAACGCATAGACAAAAGAGTGGTTTGGATTTTACCAATCATAAGTATATTACATATTACAACAAGTTGGGCAAGCATATCCAACCAATTGCACAAAAGGGGCAACATAGGTAGTGCAAAAACATCTATAATTGTATCAAAAAGTAGAGGGACGAACCGTGATCTACTTTCTAATCAATTATAGGCATAAGTTTCATCTTGCAGCAAAAGAGAATATATACAGGGCGCAAAAGGCCATAAGTTAATGAGCTGAAACAACAAATCCACAACAAAGAGCAATAACGTGAATTATGGGGAAAGTGGCAGGTTTTTTTTTATTAGTAACCTGAGCCAGCTTAGGGGAAGTTGCTGCGTGTTTCTGTATTTTGGATTTCAGTTGAGGCACGGAAAGTTCGGCATGGGTGCTGGGGGATCCAGTTTCCCCGGAGGGCACACTTGCAGCGGTCTGAAGAAAATCCAACTTTCTTTTTGTCTGCTGCTGAGACTCGTCGGTTTTATCCTCAAGGTCATCTGGGGAATCTACCAATGGTGTGGGGACCTTACAGAGGCAAAAAATTCCATAAGCATTGCGTTGCAAACACTCATCATCTTGTTTAATGCGGCGTAGTCCCAAGACAAATGACAAGTTGGCAATTTCTTTATCGAGGGCAGCCAATTCAAGTTCACCCGAAGGTTGGAGGCTGGTATGTTTCACGATTTCCAGAATATCATTTGTGAACAAGGTCACGTCCACAAACCCTGTGTCATCAGTAACCGTTGCTGCTACTCTGAAGTCTGAACCTATATATGAAATGGGAAAAAATATCATTTTTATCGAACAAAATTCATGATATATGCACAACGGTGCAGAGCACAGACCTCTTAACAGTTGTTCCATTTTTTTTGCCACAATACATGCATTGAAACTTCATCCCTTCGGCGCATTTTACTTTTCGATTACAATAGTCACAACCTATGTAATAACCTCCTTCTGTAGGATTTGCAAGGCTAATTGTGTCTGTTACCTATGCAACATGGCTCTGATTGAAACATAAAACATTCTGAGATGTCAAGATTGGATTAGTCAATACAGAGGGGTTCTGATGCAAACAATAATAATGATTACCTGGTTTAAGATGCCATGTAATGAAGAAATGGAGGTCTTATCTTTGACAAGGGGATTTGCAAATGCATTCAGATTGTTGTATGTCTTTCCTTCCAATATCATATCAACCTCCCTAGGATTTTCATGCAGCCTATGTAAATAGTAGTAAGTCAATTAAGGTTGAGTTTACCAAACAATAATATGACCTATAAAGACAATATACAAATATTTTTAAAAAGTGATCACATAACCCAAAAATTGAAGTTAGACCAGTATAATATGGCAAACTTATTGAAAGAATTTATGAACTCTCACCATGCTTTAAGTAATCCAGCCCTAGGTCCGGTTGGATTCACTTCTATGTGTGTTCCAAACCTTGTTGACAATGACAAACCTGGAAGTAAGGCAAAACTAATCAGTTCACTAAAAACCGCCAAGATAGGAAGATGTATTATACCACCGGTAAGTACCTTGATACAAGGTGATCGCAACCCTATTAATGAGAACAAGTGGGTAACAACCCTGCTGAAGTTGGACCTCTATTTCAGGTCCTTGGGCGCGAGCAAAGTCCTCCCATAATGTCAGCACTTTTGACAATGGAAAGTCAAAAGTACTATTTTGTGTAACTCGAATAGATTTATGTAGTATAAATTTATTTCTAGACATTTACACAGTTTCCATTCACTGTATTAATGAAACTATTTTACACTTACCTATTTACATTCATAATAAACTTTTATCATTATTTATTGCAGCAAATAAAAAAGTTCTTACCACATAAACGAATGGATTGTAAGCAACAAATCACTAAACTGAGCACGGAGGCACCTAACGTAAAACTGAATCTCAAATACGAGACTGAAGACTCCCCACCAAATATAACTAAGGTCACACTCAAAATTGCCTGGTTCATGATCATTTCAATAGAGAAGCTCAAACAACATAATCATTTTTGTGCTAACACCTCATAATCCAAACAAAATAAATTTGTAATCTATATAACATGATCAGTATCCCAAACTGTATCCAAGAACTTCATTCATAACAAACGTTTTTAAAGTGGAATTTTTTTGGAAAACCCCTTTTTTTTTGTAACTGGAATATATTTATGTAGTATAAAATTAAATTCTAGGCTTTCACACAGTTCGTATTCACTTTATCATGATTTTTTTATTTACCTATTCATGCATAAAAAACTATTTCATATTATTGATTGCAGTAAATAAATAAAGTTTTTCCCACATAAGCAAATGGATCATAATCAATAAATCACAAAACTAAGCAAGCAGGCACCTAAGGCAAAATAGATCAGACACTCAAGTACAAGACTCCCCACTAAAACTGTTGCTACTTATTAATGGCCCTAAAGCTACACCATCATCCATCGCCATAACACATTTTCTTCAAAAAGGAACCAAAGAAAGCAGCTATATCATACGGAGTAGTATCTTTCAAAAGACCCTGAATGATAGAAATCCAAATAAGTACACTGTCAAGCAATTCCAATTAAATACTCCGTATAACAAGTTTTCTTTCAAAAGACCACCTAAAAATGTTTTTTTTTCATTTACTATTAAGCCCATGTATACGAGGGAACCTCCGCTAGCCACTTAAAAGTGCATGGATTGCTTAAGGAGCCTCAATTCAATAGACTATTATTGCACTCTTCAGTGTTTATAGTAGTTATAAATCCACTTGCCAATGAACTACTGACGTGCACTTTGTCGTGGTGTGCCGTCAAAATAAATATCAATACGACACTAATACGTAGTATAGTGTAGTAAGGTTCGTATCCACAGGGAAAGGAATACTTCTCTTTTTATATAACTAGTAACAAGGGGGTTTTTAGATTTGATTTGATTTAATTTAATTAACACTAATGAATGACTTAAATAAGTTTAATTAATAGAGATGGGGACTTGGTTTTGCTTTTATCCACTTAATGAAATGTTCGTCGATCCCAGTTATATCTTTAACTATCTTCCTCTCGAATACTCAATCGAGGAGTAAATCCAATTCATCGAGGGTAGTTATTAATAACGAGACGCGTTCATTAATAAAACTTACTACCGAATTAATATAGAACACGCGCCGTATATTAACCCGATAGTAGCAATAAAATCAAGATGAAAACGATTGAGATTGATAACCTCAACACAAGCGGTTTATTGGTTTAATCAACATAATTAATTCCCCTTGGTTTATTAACCATGAAACGCATGCATTAATATCCCAAGTTTACTACCGTGAAAGGGCCGAATTAATAACAAGCGTATTAATCGACCGATTCTAGTTATAATTAATATATGAAACAAAACTAGTTGATCCTTTAAGTAATGTTCAAAATATTAATATGAAATATGAATAGGAATAAATTAATACTCAAGGAAGAATATTACAGAAGATGAATCCTACTATAGTTAATATCAAGATGTTAACTAATTGTCATCTTAGTAACACTCCCCAATATTAACATAGAGGAAGAAATAACTATTACTATAAATAATGTCAAGATGTTAACTAATTGTCATCTTAGTAACACTCCCCAACATTGATATAGAAATAGTATTTAAAGGAAGAATTAATATTCAAGGAAGAAGCTAAGATTAAAGAGAATAACTCACAACTTACAAATTCATTAAGCTTCAAAGTAGCAAAACCAAGATGGAAGAGTTTAGCTCCTCATTTGGAGACTAAACATGATGAAAATATAAAGAAAACACTAATCTAAACTGAGCTAAAGAGTATATGTGAATTGGTTCTTTTATGGGAATGAAATGGGGTGTATTTATAGGCTTTTGGGAGCTGCAGGGCTGTGTACCCGATCGGGCTTCAAGGGCACTCGATCGGGTACTTAGAGGGCTTCCCGGAACCAGAAAATTGGGGCATACCCGACTGGGTCTGTCGGTCACCCGATCGGGTATGACACCCGAACGTGGTTAAAAATCTTCCCGCATGATGCCTTGTTCCCGGATTTGATCCGATTTGATTTTTCAGCAAGGTACCCGATCGGGTATAGGTCATACACTCATACCCGACCGGGTACAACACAAAAAATTAGGATCTTCATTTGTCTTGAGATTTTTGCACCTTCCTTCCACTTTCCTTGATCTTTTAAGGTCCAATCTTGATCCCTTGGATGATCTTTGATCTGTTTAGCTCAGAAAAATCCTAATCTAACCAAATTACAAATAAAAATGAAAATAAAGTATTACACCAAAAGTGTGTAATTTCCACGACTAGAACTGATAAAAACTAGTTAAAATAAATATAAACATACAATCAGAAATTACATGAATATCAACTACAATAACAATAGATAAATTCTCACTGAAATCCAACACTTACCTTTAAATTCAGTTTGAATTTATGGATTAAAATTAATCTATTTCTTGGGTGAGTGCCATACAGACTGTCAAATACACAAAGTCTAGGCCATTTTTATGGAATCATAATATGAATGCACCCATATGCAAATAAAATTGGATTAGAGTCCATCCATAGATTGTTTACCTTTATCACACTATTTTGTTCTAAATGTGCATTTTATTCAAGCAAACATGATAACAAAATAGCAGCTGCACAATTTATTCTGAAACCCTAGCTCAAACGTAAAGCAACTCAAGGAAAACATTCATGCATTCAGGAGACATCTATTAATATCTAAAAGCAAAATGTTTTTGGGGTGGATTTTCCCCCTCAAAAACGTCACTTTCAGTTCTTTGTTGTGCATTGCTCTTTGGGCCGAGGATGGAGTGGGTCTGTTGTGCAAAAAGTCTTAAATTAGGCCCATTCGTACGAGCATTTTGGGTGAAACGAATGGATGGAATGATTTCTGACACTATAGATTTTTTTTCGGATTTCCAGCCAGTGTGCCAGATTTTCATTGGTAGGGTTTTTTGGTGAACAGTTCAATTAGTACAACATTATTGCTTCAAGTGGCTGAGGGGTACGGAGAATATGGGTTCTGATTTGTTTTCACTATTCAGAATTCAAATTTTGAAATAATTCCCCCCCCCCCCCCAAATCTCAAACAATCTGATTGGTTCACAGAAAAGTGCAGTGTCCGGGTTTTATTAGGCTGACCAGTTACGGGCCTATAAAAGCTGGCACACAGCTGCTCCAACACCACTCAAAATTAGCACAAATCATAAAAGCAAAATAAGTTTTCTCTTGGCATGTGATCCCCATTCCCTGTGATAGGCTATAGCAAAACCACTTGAGTCAGTGGAGATCATCTTTCATGACGCGAGGTTTGAGTGTATTAAGATACACTTTTGTAAATTGATTCATTTACTTTCATGAAAAATGATTTAATTTTGTGCAGTTTTCAACTTCAGGGCTCCAAATTGCATGCACACATTGAGGACCAATTATCAACAAGTTCATCAGGATTGAAGGAGGGTCGAGTATTCTATTCATGAAAGGGTTGAAGTATCATGCATCATGTATAAAATAAATATATGTGTGAGAAACAAGACCATGTACTGTATTTGAAAAAATTTGTGTTTATTAAAAGTGGTGGTTTTACTATTATACATGTAAAGCATACGTTTTTAATTTATGCATTGAACAAATAAAATCAATTCAAGACAAGCATCTCATCATAAGGTCATGAATGACTTTCTCTACTTATATGTGAGAAATATTTTATGCATCAAAGAGAGTTTAGTGCACTGGGAATATGCATCATGTGAGTGAAAAAATACAATAGTTGTGTGATGAAATGTTAGTTTTAGTGCACTGAATGTAATTGACAAAATCCAGTTTTGTGAAGTGCGTGGGTTTTACTATTGTACATGCAAGGCATACGTTATTATGCATTAAACGAATAAGAACATTTTAAGATAAGTTTGTTCAAAAAAAAATTTTTGGACAAGACAAGATTATGCCTTTGCTTTCCTGTATTAGTCCCAATGTAACCTTGACCATTGGATTTTGAAAAGGGCAGGTTATCAATTCATTGTTTTAAAATATGATTTTTTAAATATCTCCATGATATTATATTATTATTTCACATGCAAGCCCTATGTGTCCTATTTTCCTTTTTGAGAATAAAATATATTTAAGTAAAATATTTTTAAGTTTGGCCTAGAGAAATAAATTCATTGTGATAGCAATAGAAAGGTATACCTGTTACCTGCTCAGGTTGAGCCTGCCGAGACCTAAATCTAAACTATATCTAATTATTACATTTAGAGACCCAAAAAAAAAAAATCAACGTAACAATGATTCTTCCGGACCGAGTTCTTCTAGGCATAAAGGGATTCCCTGCATTTTCAAAGTTTGTTATCAGGTTAGACATCATCACCACTACATATCTGCCTGTTTTGCGAAATTTTGAATTATGAAGAACTTCATTCATTCATTAAAGTAGAATTCCAGAGTAAGTTTTCCAGGAAAAAAAGAATTATTTTAAGACACAGTACCATATCTGCCCCCCTGATTGGCTGGCATGTCAAGGGCAGGGAGTTTCACCCAAGCACAATACCATATTTGCCCCCCTGATTGGCTGGCATGTCAAGGGCAGGGAGT